TAAAAAATTATATTTAAAAAAAATCAACTTGCTATATAAACTCCAACCTGACAGAATATAGACCTGGTGGCATTGTTTTTGTTAACTAAAAATTATTACAAATAATTTTCATTAATATAATAGAATTAATATAATACTTTGTTTTTTCGCCCAAATTAATATAGAATAACTTTTATTCTTGCTATAGTATTGTTGATGCCGCCGCCGCCATGTCGTGAAGGCGCTGTGTTTCATTGTGAAAGCGAAACTACTTTGTTTGGTCTTCCAAAAGAGGACAATATCTGCTTCATCATGCCTAGAGCTGATCCGTGCTGGTCACTGAGGAAATACATCAACTTCGTGCTGTGGATCGCCAGATCGGCTTTCACCGTGGACGAAGCGGATTCAGATGTGTGCAGCTCATTTTGCGGAGGATGAGGACTGTTTCCTGTGAGAGTAGCCTACAATGCCGGTGTCTGTTTCTATAAAGTGTTTCAGTTCCAACTTTGCAAGGATAGTCTGGTACTTCTGACTCGCAGCCTGTAAGTACGTTTTTTATATTTAAAGAATTTGCACTGATGATTCAAACGCGAGCTACACGACTAGAAATCAGTGGTTAAGTTGTATTTACAACACTGTTCCAGAACACTTCAACCAAATATTCCGATGTGACCAGCGCATTTTATGGAGGACTGTTTCCTGATCCTGGTAGAGTAGACTACAATGGCGGCTCTTCTGACTCGCAGCCTGTAAGTACGTTTTTTATATTTAAAGAATTTGCACTGATGATTCAAACGCGAGCTGAGCACTGTAGAGTAGCACTTGTTGTTTGTCGTTTCTCCAGACATGGTTTTATGTTTACATGGCGCGATACGCAATACAACGCGTAAAAAGACAGTACAAGTCATTATAATCAGTAATTATGTCCCCACTGGATGCAACAAATGCCTCGTTTGTAATGGGTTTTAATGTTTTTGTCTTGTTGCTCCGGTCGCATCACAGTTTGGTAAGGGGCGTAACATTTCCGTCACACGCTTGAGGTATTCGGCCAATCACAACGCACTGGATAGCTGGCCAATCAGAGCACACCTCGCTTTTCAGACCGATGAGCTTTGTAAAAATCGACACGTTTCAGAAAGGCGGGGCATAGAGGAGAAACAATAATGTACAATATGTGGAAAAAAGTGTTTTTTGAACCTTAAACCGTATAAACACATTGCATTACACCAAATAATGTTCTTTTTAGGAGTCATATGACCCCTTTAAAGCTAAATATAAAAATTAAAAAATACAAACAATATAAAATCAATAAGAACGCTGAAAAATAAAAATCATTAAAATAATCTGAAATCTGAAAATTCAAAATATTAATAAATACTATAGCATTAATAAAACTAAAATAACACTGGAAATTCAAAACAAAATCAAATAAAAATGTTATATTGATTGTATTTTTTATTACATTATTATTTATTTTATATATAATTATATTTAAAAGATTTTACCAAAAATGAAGCTACATCAACAAATATCCCATCGATTTGCACAGGCTATGATACAGTAGCTTTTGCTTTGTTTTTACATAATGCATGGTTAATTAAAAGGCCCATATTTGTGGACCTATATAAATTAATGTAATGTTTGATTGTAAGGATATTTTTTGTTACATTTTGTGTGGTAAACAATTTTTGTACTCAGTTGCCACCATTTAATGTCCAGTGTAAAATCCAAGTCCAAGTAAAATCCTGAAGCAAAACCAGCCTAGAGCCCATGATTGTGATAGAGACAGTGAGACTACAGTCAGACCCAAGTGACCAAGAAAAGACCAGCTTTTTCCACAAAACACAAGCTTTTTCCACCACATACAGTATGATTTTCAATAAATACACACTCTGGCCGCACATATTCACACTCTCATCCTCGGAGGTACTTCACACTGTTTGATGAGATTCAGTTGCCATGGAGACAGCTGAAAATGATTGATTGGCCAGCACCTGAAAAGTGCTCACTGAAACTTCTAGATCAACCGGTTATTTTTAAAGGCCCTGTGGGAAATCTCAGCATGAAGGATGTGGATCAAGAGAAAGTTTGCTACAGCTACCATGTGATATAAGCTGAAGGTCATTGTAAAAATACTGGCACAATTAAATACGGTTTTCCCATTAGATGAAATTAGACCACAAAAGACATTTAGGGGGATGAGTCCTCAATAATTAGAAATGGGCAAATTGTCACTTATTATATTTGATATTGATGCTCTTGTTTGTTGCTTACGACAACGTTTTAGAAGTTAAATGTTTAGGCTGCTCTGTCTCAGATGTCTTACAGCACTAGCACTCATCAATGTCAAAATGACTGGGATGGCCAAGCAAATCAAAGATGGCGGGCTTTAGTGTTCGCAGAAGCCGATTATGAATCCAGCACGACGCTTGTGAGGAAAGATGAAAGTAGCTCATATTTGACAACTGTTTTCATGATAGAAGTGTAAAACGACAAGCAGTAATATCTGCGATGCAAACTACTGGACATTTTGTCAAATTTCGCCGTTTTGAATGGAAAATATAGGACCATTTGCGTTATTCAGGTAGGCTACAACTGAATAAGACGAAGCATTTTCCGTTTATTCTGCACACATTCACTCTCGTATTTTAAAATAGAATTATTTATAATTTTCTTTCTTTTTCTGTATTCCCTTAATCAATTAAATGTTTTATTTAAATTTAACTTATAACAACAACAACATACGGATATCTGGATATCTGTCCTTCAGATGAAGTCTGTCTTCACCAGCTGTTTTTGCGGTTAAAAAACAACTAATCATCACGAGTTATCAGATATCAAATGAATATTTCTCCTTGGAGAAGTGGCAAGGGCAGTCTAAAAGCATCTCACATTTAATTCTACTCCTTTTCCATCATCAGCTAGAGCTTTTCCAATGGAGCTAGAAATGGAATTCATTTCTCAAAGTATGTCATTTTATTTCTATACCTAACTCAGCTGTATAGTTGTATTTTACATTTAATCTGTATATCTGTATTTATGTTCTACTGTTAGTGTTATCTGTATGCACCAAGGGTCTGAGAGTAACGCAATTTCAATTCTCTGTGTGTATGTGCTGTACATGTGGAAGAATTGACAATAAAGCAGACTTGACTTGAGCTGATGACGTCAGCAACATCAAGGTCATGGGTTCGATTCCAAAACACATACTGGAAAAAATATGCTCTTTAAATGCACTGCGAGTTTGAAAGTCTGGCAAACGAATAAATGTACTTTGGAGGTCAAGTATCTTTTTTTGGGCGGCTCTGAGACTTCACTTCTCTGCCAGTTCGAATGAATCATTGTTCACTCCCTTGTACGCAGGCATAAGCAGATCCTCTCAGGACTGCGAGTCTATCTCTCTCCGAGGGACGGAGACTGGACAGAAAGGTAAAGTCTGAGAAACATTTCACACACAAAGGCTTCTCTGTAGACGAAGACAATGAGAAAGTGAGAGGACAAGACAAAGCCATTTGTAACTATTTCGTGGACAGTTTGTGCTGCGTCAGGATCGTGTGAACTGAATACGAAGGGCAAAAATGAGAAAAGCCTCTCCTCGTTGGACACTTACAGAATATTATCCTCCAAGGCAGTGGTTCCCAATCCTGGTCCTGGAGAACCCCCAACACTGCACGTGTTTGGCGTCTCTCTTATCTGACACTCACATTTGAGGTCTTGGAGTCTTCACTAATGAGCTGATGAGTTGAATCAGGTGTGTTTGAATAGGGAGACATCTAAAATGTGCAGTGTTGGGGGTTCTCCAGGAGCAGGATTGGGAACCACTGCTCTAAGGCCATGCATTAAGATGCGATTAAAATATACGTTTTAAAAAAAGTCTGTATTTTTGGATGCATATAAACAAAGATTCGGTTTTAAGCATTTAAACGGAACACAAATGCAGGTGTACTACACGTAGTAAAGATACTGCTATTTTAAGCTCTGTTTACATGGAAATAAGCACTCTTATTGTTTGTAAACTATTTAGAGCACTGATGGATTGAAATAGTGGATGAACTGCGATTTAAACAGTATAACATCGCCCTCCAGTGGACATTTACACAAATCAGTAACATTTGCAATGTATCACTTATCTAAATAGCATCTCTGTCAATTCAATCCAAAGTTTAGGAGGGACAAAATGTCAAAATGTTGTACAAGAAAATGGCACTATAAAAAGTTTAGTTATAATCAAAAAAATAATAATTAAAGGGTCACAATTAGATTCATAATGCCAGATGTAATTAAATAAAACACTCTTAGAACCTTATTTCTTCAGAATGCGTTTAATATAAAGCTTTCGCTTTTATACAAACATCGAAGACATAAGGGTTTCTTTCTTTTTACATAAATTACATTTCAAATACACAGCAACACTTCGATTATTTTGTCAGATTTTACTTTATATTATTGATAATTTTAAAAAAAAGCTCTCCTACTGAAAGTGAAGGTGAAAGTCCATTAAGATTAGTTTAATCTGCTTTTCTCTCCTGAAAGAATATCTGTGACTATTAAATCTGCAATAATAGGCGTGTAATAAATGTTAAATTCTGTACTAATAACTGTACTTATGAGAAGGTCTCAATATATTCCTATCGGAACAAGAACTCATAGCACACTAAAGACAAAAAAAAGAGATCATACACAACCCTGATGTCAGTAAGGTCCTTTCACATGGCTTAACCCGCATATCCTGACTATAGCAGACAGTTAATTACTGATTTGATCATTTTTGGTAGGATTTAAAATGACAATGACCAAAAAGAATCCAGCATATCCTTCCGAGGTGCCCGACTGTGCTGTAAAAATCTGTCTCTGTACTTTCCTACCTAAAAACATTGTATTTAAAAAATAAAAAAAAAGTAAAACATTTAATAGTCTCAAAGCTGATTAGTTAATGCTGCGGACTATGAAACAGCTGTAAAAATCTGTCTCTGTACTTTCCTACCTAAAAACATTGTATTTAAAAAATAAAAAAAAAAGTAAAACATTTAATAGTCTCAAAGCTGATTAGTTAATGCTGCGGACTATGAAACACAGAGATCGCAGGTCAGATCCCAAGCAGTCCAGGAATAGCCGAGTTAGCGTGAACACATTCCTGCTATGTCATTCTGTCCTTGAAAATCCAATAAGCAATCATTATCCTATGAACTTCAGATCATCTTCAGACAAACCGATGCTGATATTGTGTGTACAGTACATAGAGGTCACATCTTGCCTGCGGTAATTACATTGCAAAATGCTTCAGATCTACATCAACGTAAACATATAAGCACTTCACAATTTCACTTCACATTTAATGACAGAGCGCCAGGGCGAGAGAATATAGGAGAGAGATCGTGTGCAAGAGCTTTTCGTGCCTTTGTGTCATTGTTGGTCTATGGGAAGACATTTCGCAGATACCCACGGGCCTGTCAGCCCAGCTGCACGTCCATGTCGATGGGACACAGCACGTATCTGGGGTCAAGTTTAGGCGTGAAGTCACCAAAGTGTTTGGAAGCCTCGGTCCCAAAAACATCAAGCACTTTTCTGTTCATCAGAGCAAACCTGGACAGAGAAATCAATAACTTGATGCGTTTAAGGATTCATATGCATAATGAGACTTATCAATCATATTTTCCACTAATACACACCTGCCCTTCGTCAACCGCAGTAGAAACTTCCAGTACGATGGTCTCAGATTTTGCACTTCCATAACCGCCTGATAAGATCCACCCAGGACATATTAAACAAAATCATTCACCTAGGAGCATGTTTCTAGCATGTTCATGTCTTAATTTTGCACAGCAAAACTATTCCTTATCATTTAAAACCTGACAAACTTATTTTTGTTTGGCTTTTAAAGTATGCTTGTGCGGTCTTTCGTTAAATTAAAAACACGTGTCTTGATCCTCAATCAGTTCATGACTGAGTCATCAATAAGTCACACTGGCACAAACGGCTTCTGCATTTTAATGTGGTTTGTATTTTCCCTTGGTATGCAGAAGATGCTTTTAGTTTGGTAGATTTTAAAAACATTTTAAACTTACCGCTTGAAAACAGATGGCAGTAGAGATGGCATAGATTACTGTGTCAGCGTGAGGGAAGTACGGAAACCTGCCTGCCTCGATCCCTTTGAAATACATTGTCTAAAAAGACAGTCAGTAGATTATTAGTAGACTATACATACACATATATTATGCATATACATTTTATATTGCAACCCGTATAGAAAATCTTTTTGAAATCAGAATATTTTTTTCCCATGCACGTTTATGAATCATATTTAATATATATGGCTTTTATGATAATTCACTGACCACAAAATATATATATAAATACATTTTTAAAAGGAATTTACAATCTTTAAAGCATTTCTAACATTATTTCATTTTTTTTTTAAAGGAACCTATTATATAGCTTTGAGGTAGTCAAAATACAGCTTCAATACTAATAAAGGATTAAACCTGGTTATACAATTTAAGTAAATCATATTTAAAGGGATAGTTCACCCACAGGTTAGGAGGTCTCAGACTCTTACTTTAACACAGTAGGAGATGCAGTTGTCTTGATAGTGTTTGCAACATCTATGCCTGGGTCCATGTTTGCATCTAAAGGGGACAACACACACACACAATGAATGCAAACAATGTGTTATGAGGCAGGGGAACATTCATGCATGAAAATGAAGCTGAATGTTAAACAAGCCGGACCGTAAATTAACTCCAAGTGTCAAATGAAAGTCAAACACCATTTTTACCTACTATTGTTGTATACATTTGGGGTCACAATTCTTTTAAAGAAATTAATACTTTTACTCAGCTAGGAAACTTTATATAGATTACATTGAAATTAAAGTGACACTATAGACATTTATAATATGACAAATTATTTCTATTTCGAATAAATACTATTCTTTTGAACACTATTAATCAAAAAATCCTGGAAAAACTATCACTGTTTCCACAAAAATATTAAGCACAATTGCATTTTTCATACTTTGAAAGTCCTAAAAATAAAAACTTAACATGTATAATTCTATAATATTTTTTTGGTGGTTTTGGATAGAATAAAATTCTGTCAAAAATACCATAGTCTTATATATATATGTGTGTGTGTGTGTGTGTGTGTGTGTGTGTGTGTGTGTGTGTGTGTGTGTGTGTTTCATAGGTATATTTCTCTCACTCACATAGAGTCTAGGAGTTTGCGTGTAAACGCTCTAATGCAGCTCTCCCTGGAGGCAGGCGTGTGCTCCGGTCTCTCATCCGGTGGCTGTGTGTCTCTCTCCGAACCCTGTTCGTACACGTGCTCAGCAAGACAAGGGTGTGTTGGGATCTCCTCCTTGCCAACTATAAATCTGCCGCAGCCAGACACATAATCTCCTTTAACAGTCTGACACGAGTTGATTATGCTCTGAACAGGGCGTTTCCTAGGGCCTTAGGATTAATGACAAATCCTTGGGAATTTAAGGACTACGTAAAATCATGTAAACCGATAAATAAACTTACTTTAAGGCAGAGAATGCAAAGCCATTCAGTCCATCTTTACATCTGAAGATAAAACCAGAAATTGGAACGTTAAAAGGGTCAATGTTTGTAATTGAACAACTAGGTTTTTATTTGTTCTGAAGAGTGTGCCTGTCCATCTCAATCCTGCTCCTGGAGGACCTCAGCAAGTCTCGGAGGCTTGTATGAACTTGATGTGTTGAAGAAATAAGATAACCAGGGCTGGCGTCCTCCAGGACCAGGATTGAGAGGCAGTACCCTGACCAACTGACCTGAAGAAAAACATGTAGAGAGACGCAGTCAAGCAGAAGAGAAGAACCTGGAAATTATGAGACAGACATCACATGAAACTTTATGATCAGGTCAAGGTTAGTTCAAAGTAATAATGATTTTGCAAGTATGTAAAGTGGGGTTGCATCATTAGCACTAAATGATCTCAGTGCATGATATAATAAGGTCCAGATACACTAATGTTAGTTTGGGTTCAGTATGATTTTTTTGTTTTGTTTTCAAAAGAAGTCTCTTATGCACAAAAAAAGGTGCATTTATTTGATATAAAATACAGTAAAAACAGTAATATTATTACAATTTAAAACATTATGAAAACAGTTGTGCTGCTTAATATTTTGAAACCATGATACACTTTTTCATGATTCTTTGATGAATGAAATGTTCAAAAGAAGAGCATTTATTTGAAAGAAATCTTTTTAACATTATAAATGTCTTTACTGTTACTTATTATCAATGTAATGCCTCCTTGCAGAATAAAAGTATTAATTTCTTTAAAATATATATATATATCTTACTAACCCCAAGCATGAACTGTAACGTACCTCTCCGTGTTTCATAGGCTTAACAAGACCCCTTGTGACAGCCATCCGGAAAATCGTCTCCGTTGCCTGGAAATGACACAGAGCACTTTAGATCAAAATCACCCGAGGTTTCCTTGAAATAGACGGTTTTGATCACAGCTTTCCAGAAAAAGTAACATAAGTGACAGATAACAGATGTGATCCTGACTACTGCCAGGAAATGGTCATGCATCTATGAAAGAACTGTCAAGAAATAATGCAGTGGAACTGAAAAGAAGCAATGCTGAATAGTCTTACCAGGTTCGCCATGTAAATTGTTAGGAGTCCTCTCCTGAATGAGAAGACAGAAATTATATAAGAACTAATTGAGGTTTTCAACATCATTTTGCACTATTAGCCTACTTGTTCACTGTATGCAAGCGTCACAGCAAGGACGGAAACTATAACAATACAATTTTAACAATTGTTCTAATTCTATGTTAACTGTGAAGTCCACACAGCAGCTATAACAATGACAACACAGAGGAACAACATAATAGAAATCACATTTTTCAGCTGATGAACGATATAAACATTGACAGCCAATCAGAATCTACCCGACTGAAGAGCTTGAGCATTAAAAGTGGCAGATGACAAAACTGCAGCACTTGCCTACAATAAACAGAACGTAACCTTCTGTTGGTGTGGACGTGAATATAGTTATTGTTCTAATTATCATTCTTGGTGTGAATGGGCCTTAAAGGTGCTGTATGTAGGGTTGACAACGAGTGGTTGAACTAGGTATTACAGTCCAAATTCAAAATATTGGAGAGGGTTTTTTTTCACCCGGTCCCTCCTCCTCAGGCTTGACGCATACACAGGTTGCCAGATTGACGACACCAACACTTTTGTTTACCAGCTTCCATGACTGAAATTAAATACGCTGCGTTTCCTGCCAACTGGCAACCCGGGGTGCCGAAATACAATTGGGTAAACTGGCAGTGGGGGGGTTTCACAAACCAAAACAGAGACAGACACTCCGGCCCGGAACGCACATTTTCAAAGGAGAATAACTGACTGTAGCATTGTTTTTCAGATAAACAAATACGTTAACTTAGCCCGTTTCTTAAATATCTGAAAACATATTATGGTATTTTTATGCTTTAGTAGAGTCAAAAACTTACATACAGCACCTTTAACTCTTTTCCATTAGAGTACATTTCCATATGCAAGTTCAGTGTAAATTTGGTTTAAACTTTGGATAATTTGTATAAAATTTGTATAAAAGAAAGGCCAAAGGAAATCTGTGATGAAATGTCAGGGCTAACCTGCTTTTCCGCTCTATTAGTATGGCGATGTATGAGGCTGGCAGTGCCGCCCCAAACCCAGCTGACCAGGAGTAGAAACGCCCCAACAGCTTCCTGAGTAACAGAGGAAAAAGAGAGGAAACAATGGAAAGGCTAGCTGGTCATTTATAATTATAAGCTAATAGACGTGCTTTCAACGGAGGACAATATTACGGTTGAATATTTGTCTCATTTAGAAGAGAATAAAATAATCCATAATCCAAATAATTCATTCACAAATTAGGTGAGTGGACAGGTCATGCGGAACGCCAGACATAAATCCCTGTGCATAATGTATTTGATGCGTCAAAGGTCTTTACAATCCTATTTGGACAGATATGTACGTAGACTTTAAGCGGCTGATAAGGACAGGGATTCAAAGGTTGCTCGTGTCCGAACAGCTGCACACGTGGGACGACAAATGTTTCCAGTATGGACTTGCTGAGAGCAGCCATGTTTAAGCAGCACCGCACCGCGGGAGCGCGCGTCCACTGTTTCTTGCAACAAGCGCGCTCCCGGGGAGGGCAGATCATGGATATTAGGATGAGCAACCCTGCCGTAACCGCCAGTTATCGTTTCCACAGTAAATATATTCAATTATCGATTGTATAAGCAATTAATAATTCAGCTACTGAAAGAATACAAATCCTCACATTGACTCAGTCTCAGAATAAAGCTAAATATTTATTTATTTGTAGATGGAGGGTGTTTTCGAATGACGTTGGCTTTAAAATATAAACCAATGTCATAAAATACAATGTAAATGAACTTCTATGCATTGCTATTATTACTGTGGGCATTCTTTTGAAATTCATCTTGCATAATTTAACACAAAGACAGACACATATTGGCATCCCTGTAACATTTAACAAATACACCTCTTTCTCTCTCTCTCTCTATATACACACATAATAAAAAATATAAACCAGTCATAACACAAAACGTAAATTACATTTTATGCATTGCTACAATTCGACTTGGTTAATACAGACAAAATATTAATAGCTTGCAAATATATCTTTCTGACGTAAAATATCAAACTACTTAAATTTTATATATAATTATATTATGCAATCCGATCTACACTAACCACCCATGATCTACAAATGTATTTTTCATTCAAATAATCTGTAGATATTGGAGCTGAAGTGAAGTGCTCCAAGAACAACAGCAGAGAGCGATGGTGTAAAGTACACATCCTCTTTATGTGGATGCTTTGTAATATTACTAAAACTGCATGAAAAAAATGGTTGTCAACACTTCATTGATCTCAGTATGTCATTTTGGGTAAGAAAGAGGTGAATGAACTTAGTACAACGATAATCCAGTAACATCTACAGAAAAAAGCTGCTGCAAGGATTCCCATCACTACAACACACTGTCATGTTGATGTAACTACATAAATAATAGCTGTAAAATTTAAAATAATTTTGATTAAATCTGAGGGCTCTCTGACCCTCCCATAGACAGCAAGGTAACTACCACGTTCAAGGTCCAGAAAAGTACCAAGATGATCGAAAAAGTAGTCCATGTGACATCAGTGGTTCAACTGTAAAGTTACGAAAATACTTTTTTAGCGCAAATAAAACAAAAATAATGACTTTTCTGGACCTTGAACGTGGTAGTTACCTTGCGGTCTATGGGAGGGTCACAGAGCCCTCAGATTTCATCAAAAGTAATCTTAAATTGTGTTCCGAAGATGAACAAAGGTCTTGCGGGTTTCGAACAACACGAGGGTGAGTAATTAATGACAGAATTTTCATTTTTGGGTGAACTAACCCTTTAAACTGTTAACTAATGCTTCTCAGCTCAATTTAAACAGCATAACTATTTCATCTGTGATGTAACGACAGGCTAGACTCATTTCGTCAACAAATTCATGGTGAATTTCCACACAGTGTTCATGCAACCCAGTTCACTCCAGTGGTTAAGCACTCCAAACAGTGGTGTTTTTGTGCACCTTTGCAATTATTTTGAATTTCTTAATGATGTGTATCAAATTTGTCTGGCTCCTCATCCCAACCGTCTTTGTCCCAGTGTCCTTGCTGTTTGGGGGCTTTTGGTCCCCCTGCTGGCTTTGCCATAATGATCTGGCATATACACATCACATTATAATACAGAAAGAAGCAGGCTAGCAAAGCACCTAAACTACTAAATATGGACGGAATAAGAAACTGAATACATAATTGAAAATTGAAGAGCTAACCTGATCCACACGGAGGACGGTAATGGCTGCATTTGTGGCCAATTTGATGCCCCAGTGCTTGACCAGGAATGGATCGAGGATACCGGCCTCCATCATGTCAATCACTGCAGGCCCCTCTCCCTGAATGGTTTAAAACAAATATTTTGTCATCAATTACACCCTAAAATGCATGATTTAGGGTCCTTCTTTCTATTTATATCAGGTCTGCTCCCTCCAAATTAAAAACAGCTTAATTTCCCTTTGCTGCTTACACTTGGAGCCCTTACAAAGCAAGCTTATGCTGCAGACCCCTCACCTCAATATCAAAGCCAAAGTTCTTGTTGCCCTCATGATGGGCGGCATAGAGTTTGGAGATCAGCTCGTTGCCCTTGATGCCAGAGTTTTCTGCCAGAGCACGAGGCAATACTTCAAATGCCTCTGCGTACTTCTTGATGGCGTACTGCTCCAGGCCTGGGCAAGACTTTAGAGGACATGTTCAAATTATTTACACTGTTCAGGTTGTGCCAACAGCAAATTGAAATGAGATTGATTTGCTTACTTCTCCATAGGAGGTGATGTGTTTCGCCAGCTCAATTTCAGTGGCACCAGCACCTGGACAAAGACGTGCGTCCTGTGGGGAAATGTTTCTGTTAGGGTCACATTTAAAAGACTTTCATTAAAAGTCTTTTTGGGGTGGAGTTTTAAAGTAGCTCACCCTGACAAGGACTTTAAAGGTGTTAACTCCATCATCGATGGCACGCTCAATGTCATCCATCAGGTTTTCTGTGGACCCACGAATTACTAAAGTAGAGATGGTGCCATCCTCTTTATCTAGAAATAAAAGGAGTGAGATGCCATGAGCTGTCTGGATACATCACTGCCAGACTGAACAACAATATTTACAAAGCTCAGTTTGCTTAAGCTACAGAATCAAGAAAAAAAAGTCACAAAGACATCTATCTACATACAGTAAGTTGTAATTGAGTGCCTTAGCCACATTTCACCCCATAATAATAATATATTTACATTTTTGGTGCACTTTAGTACTTGTTTACATTTAAATTCGTTAACATTTAAGTACCATTTTATTTATTTATCATCAAAATAATGATCTTTAAAAAAGCATCATATGACCCCTTTAAAATCCTTTTCATGGTTACAAACCGTGAAAACAAACTGTTTTCTATTTTAATATATTTTAAAATGTAACTTATTCCCATAATTGCAAAACTGAATTTGCTGATTTGATACTAAAAAAATATTTCTTTGTCACTTTTGATTTCTTTAATGCATCTTTAATGAATAAACTTATTATTTAAAAAAATCTTACTGACCCCAAACTTTTGAACAGTGGTGTAGATACACACATATATTATGTATATGTAAACGTACAAGAATCATGTGTTAAATTTTCCTTACCATGTTTAAAGACCACAACCTGCGTATCTCCAACCTCTGACAGGTACACACTGTCACAGTGTCCCATCTCTTCTGGGGTTGGGGGAGTCTGTTTACCCAGAGGAAAAAAAAAAACAACAAGACTGAGACTGACACATAATGATGTCAACTGGCTTGTCACCAACTTGCATCACACAAAGTGCCATTAATAAAACTCAAAATAACTCACCAGTCTGGGCAATGCTGTGGCTCCCACAGTTTTGCATAGTCTTCTGAGGTCCCATTTTGAATTCAGCCTGGGTGAAGTACAAACAGCATTCATAAATATCAGACATGTCGCTTTTATTGTCATTTAACAAGCCAACACATTAAAAAAAAAATCAAGCAGCACAAAGAAGAAAAAAAGAAAAGAAAAAAAAAAGGGATCTGCCTGTCTCACCTCACCAACATGAGCTTGTACTTGTTGGCGTAATGAAGGGCCATATCAGCAACTTTGCCCCCAGTCACAACCACATTGGCCCCTGAATCAGCGATAGACTTCACCTGGGCCTCCATCAGGTCCTCTTCTCCTTTACTGAAATTCATGAGCTCCTCTGCGTTCTTTATAAGTACTGTTCCCTACGGAACATCAGAAAGAAATACTGAAGGAAGACAGCCCAAAAAAACTAAGGAGAACATAATTCATTGCACATTTTTTGAACATCACACAAAGGAAATACTATTTCAAGTCAACCCATAGATACACAAGGAAAAAACATTTAATCCAATTCACTGAGCATTTTCCTACTTTTGTTTCAGTAACCATGCAGTCAAACGGACAGGAGAACACTGCTATCTTTGCGTCTTTCACTGATGTGATGTCTCCTTCAGTCTCTTTTTTAAATACCATCCCATGAAGCATCATAGAAGAGTTCAGTCCACAGCCCTACAAAGACAAAAAAAAAAGAACTGAAACTGACCCACAGACACTCATTTATTTAGTTTAAAGCAATGCCGAAATTGATCACTTTATACTTACCAATATTTTGCACACTCTGACATTATCAACATTGAAATTTCCAGACTCGGGGAAGATAGAGACTGTAAAATGAGTAATATTCTAAATAAAATGAAACATTATCACAAAATCAAGCTGAATTTTCCCAGAGTACACAGAAGCAATCATGCCTTACCACAGGCCTGTGCGATAAGGTTGGCCAGGAAGTCCTCATTGCCGTACTGTTTGCTCATGACGGCTGAGCGGATCATGGCTGTGGCCTCATCCAGATCATGCAGGTTCTTCGCAGACGAACAGACGCAATCGGGGAGAATCTCTAGAGCTTTCTTACATGCCATCTCATAGCCCTCAATCAACTGGGATAAACAATTAACAATCATCAGCTCATGCAAATACGTAATTTATAAGGCAAATAAATTATATAGTAGTTCTCAATTTAACATGAATTAATCATACTATTTAATCCTCATATTGCATTCGGGTCTGATACATAAAAAGAGCTAAACAAATACATAGTTTGTAGTACGGGGAACCAAACTTTTTTTTTTTTTTTTAGAAGACATCACCACGCAATGCAAACCTCTTTCCTGACAGCGACATACTGCATTAGCAAAGTAGTTTACTGACCTCTGAAACAGACAGGCCCATTCTCAGCAGCTCCTCTGCAAGCTCCAGCAGAGCACCAGCAAACACAAGCACAAAGTTTGTGCCATCGCCTACTTCCTGCGTACATTTACATTTCCTTCAGCCTGAGGCTTATTCATTTCACTTTTGGTGTGAAAAGACTTTTATATTTGCCAAAAACAGAACTTTTTTATTTTAAAAACAAACAAGTAAGCTCTGTCCAGATTTTAAAAGTAACGCAACAGTAACGTAACGCATTACTTTCCATAAAAAGTAACTAAGTACCGTAATTAGTTACTTTTTTATGGAGTAACGCAATATTGTAATGCATTACTTTTAAAAGTAACGTTCCCCAACACTGCGAACGGGGAACTGCCCTTTTAAGAGAAACGCTATCCTTTATTTGTAAAATTATTCATGTTCTTATTTATAGACGTTAAATAAAACAGTACATTTAAATAGTTGTGATTCTGCAGCTTACCAAATTCAACTAGCTTCCTAACTTTACCTGAGTGATGGAGGTGTGAGCGGCGTCTGTCTGTCACATGTCTTCAGCTAACATGCTAACTTCATTCATACCTTACTTTCTAATCAAACCCAGTTACTGTCAATCCCTCGATATTTTATTAAGACCTAATGGTAATGACGGCCTTGTACAAACTATTATTCTTCAGCTGAAGTGTGTGCTGCTTTTACCGGTACGTTAGTCGGACGGGATGAGGCCCGTGTTCTAGAAACCTCTATGTAGAGTCACTGCATGCGCACTAAAACATCACAGCACGAGCAAAACACTGCTTCAACAGCCCTACCTTCGCACCATCCTTTAACATCTGAGCAAATCCCGGAGCTTTGGGGACGTGAAGTGCCATTTTGACCAGATAAGAGAGATATTAGACTGATGCTGGATGAGGCTGCAGCGCACGAGAAGCATGCAGCTAAGAAAGAACAGGCGCTGCTGCAGAGAGCAGAAACACGGATTACTGAACCAGACAGGAGAGAGAGTAGAGCGCCGATTGAGTCGATTGATCCCCACCCAATGACAGAAAATGTCTATTTATTTATTTGTTTATTTTTGAGTATGGTTTTCATTTATACACGTTTTAATTTCTCATTTTAATTTTTAAATGATAAAATAATTTTAATATTCCTCATACTGTATATAGTTAATTAGTAATTACTCATATCACTTTGAATAATTAATCATCAAATTAGCCAAATTAATTTATGAATTTATTCTATTATATATCTTTTTTACATTTATGCATTTAGCCGATGCTTTTATCCAAAGTGACTTACAAAAGGGGAGGAACAAAGCAATTCATCAAAGAACTATTATTTATATTTGTATTTTATTTTATATAAATAAAATAATTTATATTTATTTAATTATTCAGTGTGTGTGTGTGTGTGTGTGTTTAAATATACTTTTAATTGAAAAGCAACTTCTAATTATAAATAAAATAATTGAAAGAAATTTAAATGTTAAAATATTTTGATATACTTTATGTATGTTGATAAATATTCATATCACTTTAAATAATTAATAAATCAAACTAATTGTTATAACTTGTTTGAGCCAAATTAATCTATGAATTTATTCTACTGTATTGATTTATTATTCTATTATTTATGAATCTGTTTTATTTAGTCGACTTTATTTTAAATATCTTTATATTTTTATTTCATTTTTATATTTATATTTTTAAATATATTTTTATATTTTAATTTATTTTCTGTGTGTTTCCTTTGCAATCAATTTGATGTCCCAGCTCGGAATGCTTACACTGATGATTATTAGTTTGCAATAAAAGAAACCTAACAGAGTGATTTGTAACAAAAAATTTTACAAATCACAACCCTGAACCATCTTGTAAAGAAAGTACAAAACTACTACAAACCTTTGCATTGTTCTTATGAATGTATGGGTGACTCAAAGCTGATTGGAGAGATGGACATTGTTCTAGACTAAAGTCATGCCATCTGATCCCTTTAATTGTGGAGTCTGGCTGGCACACACAGAATCACAGTGTCCCTCTGACAGCCTCCTGCTGAAGAGCCATTACTTTGGCTGTGTTTGTGAACCTGCTTTTGGCTTCTCAGTGTACACTACGAGGATTACGACTAGTTTACGGTGACTTTTTACGGTATAATCAGGGAAGAAGATCTACAGGATTCTCAATGGAGTTTCTACAGCTCTGTGTCTTTTGCTGAGCAACTCTTGAGGCTCTTTTAAGATTTTTAATAGACAGTTTCCTGCAAATACGTTTCTATTGTCAGGTAAGGGGTTTTAATGTCTCATGTAAACATATGTAACAAATTACACATATCAAATTACACTTTTAGCTTTAACAAAGGAAAGTTACAGTAGCCAAGAATTTGTAGCCTTTTTCGTGTCACTAACATTGGGCTTGCGTATTCTGTAATGTTCAGTCACAAAAAATAAACATAAAGTACAGTAAGTATACATATAGTATTACTATTTTATAAGTCATTTCAACACTAAGAAACACTGTGCAGCCAATACAGAAGTATGATCTCATTTGCTGGCTGGAGGGGGATTTTTCTCCAATTGTTTAATCACTGATGCAACTTTGGGCACATGATGAAACCTTTTCATGACCCCTGAAAGGCTGCTGATCTCATACATCTGAAGCATAAATAAGGTTTACATCCACCCATTTAATCCAGATCTGTTCTTTTTCTAGGAATAAATGATCACCTCAACTAGACGAGTCTCTGCAGATAAACCTGAAGTACAAATCGCTTTCAGCCTCGACGAAACCTCAGGTAACACATCTTGTAAGGATAAGCAGATTATTATTTTAGGAGTTTACATGCTTGTGACAAAGACACTGTGATTGAGAGACTAAAATAGAGTTGTGTCCCCGCGCTCTACACGGTCCATACGATGTGTGACTTCTACCAAAATGGCAACAAGCAAAACCCACCCAAAGCCTCTCATGTGGGATCAATTCAACTTTTGCCATCCTTTACAAAGAAACAGGTGCCCCCTCTATTTTAGTTGATCTCTGGCATCTTAAAAACAAAATATACCTAGCCACAAAGTCAACAGCGCTGTCAAAGTGTTTTACAGCTATTCGGGCAAATGCTTTGATGGCAGCTGCTGCCTGGGCATTGCAGCATCAGGTTTCTGTTTAATACCTCAGTGCTGCATGATTCACTCATTTGCTTTTAGAACACTTGCCTAAATTTAAAAGCATTTAATACTTAATGTTTTGCCGCTACTTTGCCCTGCGTCCTCTTCTTTTCTTTTTCCCAAAAGTGGAGCATAAATAGATTCCTACACATAAACATGCCACATTCAGCCTACTTTCCCATAATTCATTCCTTCATTTCTTTTTTTTTGTTTGTTTGTGTGTGTGTGTGTGCGTGTGTGTGTGTGTGTGTGTGTGTAAAATACACTGCCACTTTACTAAAAAATATATGTGATTCCTACACATAAACATGCCACATTCAGCCTACTTTCCCTTCCTTAATTCTTCTTTTTTTTTTTTTTTGTTTGTTTGTGTGTGTGTGTGTGTGTGTGTGTGTGTGTGTGTGTGTATGTAATTAACAGTCACTCATTAATGAAAACTAAATGATTATATCAATTTAGTATAACTGAAATTAACAAATTAATATAGATAGATAGATAGATAGATAGATAGATAGATAGATAGATAGATAGATGTTGAATTATTTATTATTTGGTGATTATGTATTATAATTTTTGTGTGTGTTTAGTTTACAATGAAATAAATTGAACTGAAATAAACAACAACTAACAACTGGGGAAACAGTAGCTTAAAGGTTTTCATCACTCCAAAAGGGAACTAAACTAAAATAAACACTAAAAAACTAATAAATTAATAACAAACTAATAAATGATCGGATTATATTATTATTATACATACAATTATTATTATATGACATTATTTGTTCTGTATATATTTTAAACATTTGTACTCTTAAATAATACATTTACAAAAATGTATTTTTCTTATATTATATTGTATTATATAAAACAATGAAAGAATGACGGAGTGGGAAAAAATCCAAAATTCAAATATATGCAGTCAGTCAGCCAAAATTATATGAAACTGTCATGCTCCTGTCATGTCATGCTACATTCTGCAGGAATCACATGCATATCATGTTTCAGATAATGCCCTTGCAAATTTTTATGTATATTTATCTTTTAATCGGCCATCTGGCTGATGCATGACTGTAAACAGGCCTGTTTTTAGCAGTGAGCCCCACTTGGACATAGCTGGCATGGCGGGAATCAGTGCAGACAAGCTGTCTGTCAGAGCGCTCGTTAAAGACAAGTCATTGCGAAGAACCTGGGAGATAGTTACTTTCAATCTGTCCGTTCAGGATTTAGAGTCCGAACAGGTGGTCGTCGAATTTGGCTTTTTGCACTGATTTGGAAGCAGTTTCTATGTGAATGGCCACATGTATGTTTACACAAGGGAAACTGGATCTAGATCAGTGTAAACAGCTAACTTACTGGACATGCTGTGGTGTCATGTGCACTGTGGTATGATTAAGCTGATTAGATGGATGTAGATGTCACCACTAAGGCCTTGGAGTAAAGATCTCAAATATTAGCATTCTCATACCAGACATGTTCCTTTGGCTTTCTTTTCCTGTCAGAGTTGAAAGATGCAGAGGATCCCCTTCCATCAGTCCCTGACCTTGAGCAACGCCTGCAGGTAAAGTTTATTAATAATCTGTTTAAAACATGATGGCATAGTACTGCATGCTTAGAATACAGAGTCTGCTGGAGAGTACAGTTATAATAAGACATTTGGCTATATATCTCACAACTAAAGATGTATTGTATAGTAAAGATGTATGTATTAAAGATGTTTGGGGTCATACAGTGTGACGGATGTGCAAAAAAAAAAAACTGTAGAAAAGCTAAATCCACTGTGCTAATATTAGCACTAAACAGCAGAATTAGCAGGAGTGAGTGCTGTATAAAAACATGGACGTTGTGTCCGTGACGTCACCCGTAGGATTCCGAAGAGCGTTTTTGAAGCCTAAAGTGGGCGGAGCCGGCCGTCGCCATCTTGGCAGCGCGCGTCACTCCCAGATAATCCTAAATGGGCAAAGAGGCGGGAGCTGGATGTTGAAACCACGCCCACCTAGCTCGACGGTGGTGACAGCAGCACTCCCTTTTGCAGCCAGCCTCTAGCGGCCAGTCGATGAAGTACAGTTTAAGTCACTTCCGTGTTGGCTTCAGAGAGAGAGCGAGAGGTTGCCGCTTGGTTTGTACAGAAGGGTGAAGTGAAATGATGGTGGAAAGAAGCTAAATCAGACAGAAATAGTCTCACAATCACCCAGACAATATTATAAACATCTGCAGATCACGAAAATATTTTACTGCTGCTTTAAAAGGTTTGTTGTTTTCTGGTCCTTGACTGGACAGGACATTTGTTCCTCCTTTGACTATTTTCAGTTTGCTACACAACATGTTATTTGGCTTATTTAATCAGAATAGGCTGGACTTAACACGCGCACACACACACACACATTAGGGGAAAAACTGGGAGAAGTTGAAGCATTTTGTCGTGTGGATGATATTCTGTAGGACTGTGCCGTGAGTCATTGCGAAAGAAGAAGTTCCTGACACAAAAGGAATAAAAAAGTCAAGCGACTCACCAACTGTTTCCACATATTATGTTTCATCTATTGATTGAAACCCGCGTTTGTCAGGCTGTATGACGATTCTGTGTATATTCCAGGATGTACCAGACAATCCAAATATAACATCAAATGAAGTTCCTGAATTCATCTCCAGTCACTCTTGTAGCTAAAGTATTTAGACTGACTATAACATACTGTATAAAATGTCAACTGACTC